CAGCGTAGTAAATGCAGATGCAAGAAGTATATATTCAAGTATTAAAGAATTTTTCAACGAACAGGGCGTTCCATTAGAGAACATCATAGGTCTCGCCACCGATGGCGCAAATGTAATGGCTTCAGAGGTAAATGGATTAGCAGGAAAGTTTAGAAACGATGTTAATTTGTTTTATTTAAAATGTTCTTGCCATTCACTACATTTATGTTCCGCTTACGCGTGTAAAAAACTGCCTGGTCAAATTGAACAACTTTGCCGTAATATTTATAAATTTTTTGCACACTGTCCAAAACGAATTGAAGAATTTAAAGATTTCCAAGATTATTGTTCGGTGCAGTCACATAAAATATTGGATATTTTCATGACCAGTTGGCTTTCACTGGAAGCAGTCATAAACAGAATCCATTACAGTTATATTTTTTAGACTCTGTGTTGGAAGTAAATGGAATCAAAGCCAATGAGATGGCAGTGCAAATGAATGATCCTGAAATCAAAACCTACTTTTTTGTATCATATATCCTCAAAATCATAAATGATCTCAACAGGGAATTTCAATCGGAAAAAGTTCGCTTGCGTTATTCATATTCCCATCTGGACACGACTTTCAAATTATTATTAAGCAATTTCATGAAAATTGAATATGTAAGCGGTTTGGAATCAGTAGAAAATATTAATTTCCACGAAAAAGAAAACTATTTACCAATAGAAAAAATATGCATTGGATCCAAGGCAGAACAACATTTGCAAAAAAATAAACTATCCTTTTCTGATACAGTTAGAATAAAAAATAGCATTTTAAATTTTTATTTGGAGCTGTTGCAGCAAATTAAAAAAAGGTTCCATTTTTCGAGAAATGACCTAAAATTATTATCGATTATTACGCCCAGCAGGGTTTTACCTGATCATCAAACACAAATTGAGCCCTTGTTGTATCAATTTTCCAATTTTTTTGATTTTGATGAGGACGTAATTGTACAGCAATGGAAAATATTAAGATTTTCCAAACTCGATTTGAAAAGGGATATGGATATTGAAGATTTTTGGGAACAAGTTTCATACCATAAAGATGGAATGGGCGAACAATGTTTTAAGGATTTGACCACTTTGGTACAAAATTTAATAACATTGCCGCACAGCTCAGCAGCTGCTGAACGGCAATTTTCTGAATTAAATCTGATAAAAACGAAATTGAGAAATAAACTCAGCTTAAAAACTATTAATAACATAATACTGGCCAAAGAACTGTGCACTAGTCGCAAGCCAAATTATGTTTGGTCTGCTGCAAAAGAAAATCTTTGAAAATATATGAAAGTTTAAAAAATTAAACAAACTTTACAAAGATAATCAGACTTAAAAAAAAATTTAAAAAAATTACAAATTTTTTTTTTCAGAATTTTCACAAAGTTTTTGAGTATGCCCATAAAATTTATGTACAATTAAGTGCAAGTTTGAAGTCGCTGAAAACTACCGTTAAGTTTTAGTGAGTTTTTTAAGCCAAATTGCATTCCCGAAATCTCTGAAAATTCTGAATAAAAAGTTTGTAATTTCTATTGGAGGTTTTTGAAATTTGATTATTTTTGGTAAAGTTTGTGTAATCTTTAAACTTGTATTTATTTTGTATCTGTTATGCATCGAACTATGTTTTAAATGAAAATTCTTTAAAATAAATATAATAATTGTGCTATTATTTTGACCGCAACTGTAAACCGAATTTATTACTTTTTGAAAAAGTCACTTTATTTTTAAACATTTTATTTCAGTTACCTACTTATTTAAAATGTTAGTGAATGGTTATCTTTATTTTGTTACTTATATTTATAAGCATACGTTTTGTTATTATAAATTAAAGTGAACTTGAAAACCTTTTTTCTTAAGTTTTTTTCAGTTTGCGTACTTTTTTGAATTTGTATGTTTACAAAAAAATTTTTTCAGTGGCATCACTGGTTGTAACTGAGCGATCATCAAAGAAACATCATTTCTAGTATGCCACAAGACAAAATTAGAAATGAAGTTCATAAACTTCACGCTGTCAGACAAAACACTTTCGATTTGCAAAGAAAGTAAATGAAGACTGGCTACAGAAATAATTCTGTCAAGTATCGTCTTAACGGCGGACAACGCATAGTATTCCAAACAAAAGTCACACAAAATAGTTGAGAATTCGCAGAAATGAAACAGAAACGAAAGAAAAAACAAATAATGCCAAGCATACAAACATACATATGCGTACACATGTGAATATGTCACCAACCAAAAATTTAAACATTGTTCTACAAAAACAACAATAGCATAAGCATGGCAACATTATGTTATTGGTAGAAAATCCGAGCTGTGCCGAAAGAAACTACAATAACAAACGATCGCCGATTGTCACCGCTTCCCTTGCTGCTCGAACATCTTCGCCGACAAGATTGCGCAACTATGTTAACGCAACAAATCTATCGCAACCTTTTCCGAACTCGTATAAGAAGTATAACTTCAATAAAATAATTAAAATAAAGCTTTATTTACAAAAGCTTTAAAGCTTTATTAAAAAAATTAATATACAGGAACGTTATAGTGAAGTGTTAGTAAGTGAAAAGTGCATAATATAAGTAAAAAAAAACTATAAGTCAGCGGCAACTATATACATATATATATATATATATTCGTGATCTGGAGATTGTCACCTTTCCAGCGATACCCATTTTATTCCCGAAATCCGGGGATGCTATTCTAAATCCCAGCCAAAAAGAATTGCAAAAAGTGGGTTAAACATAGTGAATTGCAAAAAGTGGGTTAAACATAGTGAAATGACGACGACCATTGTTTTTACAAATTTTGATCTTTAAATAGAAATATCTCGAAAACTATGAGTCTGAGAAGGGTATACATTTTCTAGTTATGAAGGCCTCCTCCATCCATCCCTACCATCAAATCGCGACGCCAAAAGAATCGTAATATTGCCAATTGGTAAGTATGGTTATGTTAGAATTTTATATAATATAATTTAATGAAATAATTTTATATATTATATACTAATAAGTTATGAGTCTCCTTAAGTTTTTTAGCATTCCAAGCACAGATAAAATAAATTAAATCGTGTCTCTACAAAAACAACACCAACATCAATAATAACAAAGAAGTTGCGGGTAAAATACATATGTAGGTATGTAAATGGTGTTAAGATCTTTGTATGAATTGTAATTAGAAAGTGCTTAATTTAAAATTATTCATTCAGCATTATTATTTGAAAATTTATGTAGGAATTTTCACCTGGTCAGCTTCGTTTCCAGTAATAAAACCAGTGTTAGGTTTTATAAAATTATTTATTTAGAATTAAGTAGTTAAAATAGTTAAAACTAACTTCTTTACATTCTTAAGGTTTTAGATCTTTTTTTTCACTGCGGTATATCTCATAGTGCTCGTTCGTCTTTTCTTTTTAAAATGTCCGAGCCGTCGTTTTTCGTGTTTCGTTATATCATTGTTTTCTCGTCAAGTTTAAGGTCTGTCCTCGTCAGTTGTTCGTCACCCTACAACCAGCACTACATCCGGCCGTCCTGATCTCATTCGCCCCCGAATGAGTTGGTCCATCGTTTCATATATTCTGCCAYTGTAGATGTCTTTCCCGGCCCTTCATGGTCTCCTACTTTTTCGACCTCATACCGCCCATGGTTGAATTTCTTCACAACTCTATATGGACCCAAGAATTTCGGTTTTAATTTTAGTCCACTCCCGAATTGCGTTCTTTTAATCGCTACTAGATCGTTCGGTTCATAACCCGTTTCCTTTCTACGCCGCAAATTGTACGACCTGCGATTCTCCTGCTGAATTTGCGAAATATTTTCCATAGCTTGCTTCCTTACTAATTCGCGATCTTCGTTCAACTCTCCTACTGCTTCATCATCTAAGAGTCCTTGTAGCTCTGGCATATTGGCCATACGCATGTCAAGTCCAGTTATATCTTGAATGGTGACTGCTTTGTACTTCGCGGAGGTGTGTTGTTTATAAACTGTTGTACGCGACCTATGTGTTTGTACCAATTTGTAGGTGTCTCTGTGTACAACTTTGATAACATGCGGCCCCTACTTTGTGCATCCTTTCTACTTGCCCATTTCCCCGCGGCACTCCTGTGGTTATAAGCAAATGCTGAATTTTCTCCTCCTGGCAGTATTCTTTGAACAAATTTGAGGTAAACGCAGTCCCCCTATCAGAAATGATAGGCTTTGGGTTACTGAATATAGCTGCCTGCTTCTTTAGCCTCTCTACTACTGCTTCTGTCCTGCATTCTTCGTAGGATACAACCACACGAACTTGCTAAATGCGTCTACCACCACCAAAATGAAGTAATACGACTTGCCGGTCGTCTCCAGTGGTCCAACGTGGTCAATGTGGTAGGTTCCTAAAGGTTTGTCTTCTTTATTTATTTCCGGCCCCACTTAATAATAACGTATCGTATCGAATCAAATTTAGTGAACATCCTGAATCAATAAGTGCCTCAAATCTAAAATCGTTAATCATGACCGTCTTAAAATGTAACCCATCCCGAACGCTATTTATAAATGGTTGAAAAATATCATCACTCAACATGTTGACCGTGCTCGGTTCTTTCTTTGGGTCGTTCGTTTTTTTATCTTTATTCTTGCATTCGAAAGAGCGATGACCCAATTCGTTGCACTTAAAGCATTTGAACTGCTTCTGTGGACATTGCGCAGCTATATGCGTCTTATCTCCACACTTAAAACACCTTCTAACCGATTCCTCTTTTGGCTTTACTATTGATAAGTTACTCTCTTTCCTAGATTCATTTGTGCCTACTTTACCTATCCCTGCATTAGATTTTCGTATCCTTTCATACACTTTTATCTGCTCTTTGAAATCGTTTATATTCTTTGCTTGATACAATAAAGACTTATTAAATCGTGAATCCGGAATCCCCTCAATAAAATAATCGATGACACTGGCCTCGTCTAGATTAATTTGTTTGCCTATTTCCATTAGACTATATAAATATTCACGTAGCGTTTCATTCGAGTGTTTAAGCCTATTTTTCAACAGCTTATGAACATTTGACGAACAAAGCTTAGTACCGAATTCAGTAATTAACGCACTTTTTAAGTTTTCCCAATTGCTTACATTGCTTTGACTTCTAACGAAAAGCTTGGCTGGTCCACATAGAAGCTGCTTACCATAAACAAATCTTTGCAAATCGTTCCACTTTACTATATCTGCATTCAACTCGAACTCGTTTACCCAAAACCGAATATCTACCGACCCTTCACCRGTAAATGAACTAACACAATCACCTAAATCTTTAAGAGTAAATAGCTGTTTGCGCACAAAGGACTGGGAAGACTGTGGATTGTTACATTCTTGAACGTCATCGTATACCGACCGACTCAACTCATCATCGCTTGGCTCATTTCGCGACARGCCATAGTGCTGCAGTAGTTTGTCCTGAAGTTCTCGTTTTTGTCCAGTAGTCGARATACCAATTTCTCTCAACTTGTCTTTCAGTCCATTAACTGTCAAAGTCATTAAAGTGTTTAAGTCCATCCTACCAACTAATATTTAGACCTTGTTGTAACAAGTATAAAAATACAGATGCTTATAAACTAAAAAAAGTTTATCAAAAGTTGCTTAGAATATGTGCATGCGTATACATAAATACGTATATACATAGCTTAAAATACTGCTGGCGATCACTTATATTACTCGTAGTTTGAATTTGATAAATGAAGTGTTTATTATTTTCTATATTTCTGTCTTTTTACTGCATTGTCTATAGCATAGATATTATTCTCACTGTTTACGTTCTTTAATTGCTTCTTTTCTTTCAGTTTGACTGAATCTAATAAGARTTTATTTCTATTTCCACGAATAGTTAGTTTGCCACTTCTTACTCCTTTCGACTACTTTAATATCAACTTCTTATATCAACCTTCTTTAATAATGCACTTTCATTATTCTTTATGTTTCTATTCCATTCAATATTGCATACAAAATATTTCTTTTACATTCAGTGTCTGTACTCTTACATCTTATTTTATGTTCTTCTGTCTTCTTCACGTTTCAACTTGCAACTTTTTTTTCACAACTATTCTGCATTGAGAATTTGCCTTCTTACAATTTATTTCATGTACTTCTTACTTCTTGCTAAACACCTTTACATTTCTCTATTTTCTTTTCAACATAAACTCTTTCAATTACTTCCAGCTTTAAACCTCTGATATCGTTTACTGTATTCTCTTTCTACTGCATGTACTTTCTTTCTGGGTTCTTCTGCTTCTGCTTCTTCGTCTTGTTTCGGCTTTTTCTCTATTCTCCTTCTTATTCGAATGATTCGGTTAATTACTCTGGATTTAAAACAGGCTTCTGCTCTGCTGCTACGAATGCTGCTTCGGCTGCTATTGCTCTGGAATCTTCGCTGCTTCTTGGCGTCACTTCGAAAGTTCGCTGAAGCTTCAGTTACTTGGAACGATTTAAAGATGTCTGCTTAGGCTGGCTTCGCTAGGTTTCGGTGTCGCCTTGAAGTTTTACTGCGGTAGCTTTACAAATACTGCTTCGAAATGTGCGTTATTTGCTGATTTATGCAACTATTTCGGAATTCCTCTTTCTTTTAATCCACTTCGTTTTGCCTGATGCTCTTAACTTTCGGTGTCCACGCTGAGCTCTGATGATTTTCTGCTTCAACNTTCGCTGCTGCTAGCTCACGTCTGGGTGAAAAATCCTGGTTGAGCTCCCAATTTTGTAGGAATTCTCACCTGGTCAGCTCCTTTTCCAGTAATAAAACCAGTGTTAGGTTTCATAAAATTATTTATTTAGAATTAAATAGTTAAAATAGTTAAAAGTAACTTCTTTACATTCTTAAGGTTTTAGGTCTTCTTTTCACTGCGGTATAACTCGTACTGCTCGTTCGTCTTTTCTTTTTAAAATGTCCGAGCCGTCGTTTTTCGTGTTTCGTTATATCATTGTTTTCTCGTCAAGTTTAAGGTGAATACACTGTCTTCGCCAGTTGTTCTTCACCCTACAACCAGCACTACATTTATATTATAAGGTTTATGTAAGTGAAAACTAGTTTGAAAGGAAGTTTATATAATATTTCTTCACGAAGTGTTTGCATATTAAACATACATATAATCGACAGTGGAAATGTATATGTGTAAATATGAAATATAAAATAAACAAAGTGTGCAAATATATATAGTGAAAGAGGAGGATTCAGTGATCTACCCTGAATTCGGAGATAAAATTGGTATAAACGTACAGAGTAGGTTCCCCTGATTAGGAATGCTTATATAATATATATGAGTATATTTTCGGTATACTCACATTTAATCCAGAAATTCAAATTTTTATAATCTTATATATAAATTTCGCATTAATTAATGTTAGATTTAATAAGGACAACAATATAATATGAAGAGTATTTGAAGCTTTCATCCAAAATTCCCATGTCATTGGCAGAATACCTGCTACACTCATGTTCCATTTTATTTCGTGCTTTATTCATGTCCTTGTAAATTTTCGAAAATGTTCTTACGTTATTTCAGGTGAAGATATACTAAATTTATAATAGCATTGCAAATACTTTTTCCATATGTTTTTCAAGAACGGCTAAAAGAGAAGGTTATTTCAGATTTAAGACATTTTATAGCGTTAAATCTTAATAGAAATAAGCAACTTAAATATAAACTAAAAATTAATTCTAATTCACTAATGTACATATATAAAAAAGTTACAGTTTTAAGTTAGATTAAGTTTTAAATATTAATTAGTTTTAGGATGTACATACATATGTACTTATTGAAGTTTTGGATTAATCATACATAACATTAAATTACTATTAGGCTGTTCACGATAAGGTGGTTATCGGGTTATGTGGTTATGTGATTAAGTAAACAACAACAAAATGCGGTATGACAAAATAACCAACTTTGACCAACCCAGACCCTCGCTTACATATTATGTGGTTGTTTGCTTATTTCCAGTGTTAGAAAGTCGTTGGAGTTTTACTAAATGGCAGCACAAAAAATAAATAAATCATTTATATTTTCTAATTGGAAATTCTGCTATTAAAAGCTGTTTTTCGTTTACAATTGCATTGTGGCACTGTTCAGGGCGCAAGATGTCTGCAAATTTTATACAAAGAACCGTTTAAACTCTTAAAATTCGGATTATTTAGTAAGCACATACCTTCATTAAAGTCCATTTCCTGAATATCAGAACTTATTTTAAATTCAATTATGTTGCTTTTTAAACTTTGTTTAATCATTTTATAAGTAGAAATTTCATTGAACTTAAAATGTAAACAATGAACAGCTGTTTGTCTGAAAATAAGCATATAACCATACAATTCGGGATGTTCACGGATCATAGAGGTTATATTTAATCTAATAACCACATAACCCGATAACCACCTTACCATGAACAGCCTAATTTTATTTGTGACCACTGCATGCTACCTTTAGAAATAGTTGTAAAAAACATGGGTGCTTGGCGAATAACAATGCATTGGGAGTACCAGAATACGATCCAACACTTCCATGTATACAACAATTTACACCAGGTCCCTATTGTAAAGTTTGATATTCAGGGGTTTCATATAGTCTCACAAAGTTATAAGTCATAAACAAAAATTAAGAAAAAATACAATGGTTGTGAACACGTCGTTATCAATTTGTTGTCGTAAATCACTTATAAATCAGCTGATTGAACAAAAATAAATAACAATATTAGCAAAAATAAGTATTTCGCAGTCAAAATGCCAGGAGAAAGAAGAATTTTAAAATAATGGATGCGCTGTGCAAAATCATTCATTAAACCTTAAAGGCAATTCTCACTTTGATATTTATTTCCGTAATTACTTTTCAGGCGACGACGAAGATGCGGACGAAATATTTGAAAATTTTTCATCGAGATTGCTTTGCTTACTAAACACTCGTAGAAGTGCTCATCTCGGAATACCAATGGCGACATAAGGTACGGTCTTTAGATTATCTGAGTTTAAGTTCAAACAGCATAGGTGTCGTGTGATATTGGTCTCTAGATCTTTGGTTTTTAGCTGAATACACACAAATATTAAGCAGAAAATGATTTCAACGCTATAGTTTAAAAGTTTGGTGAATTCAAGTGACACCGAAAGTGAAAAGTGGCATCTTAATTATCGTGAAAACTTATCCCATTACAAAAATAAAAAAAAAACTGGTTTCCGGTGGTCAAATCGAGTTGGGAATTTTTCAGGTAAGTAGTCATATTGTTCATTTCTAAAATTTAATTAACATATAATCTCGAAATATAAATTTCCAAAGATTTTAAGAATATAGTGAAAACCGTCTCTGGACGGTCTTGCCCGGGTAAAGGAAAAAATACATTACCGTAGCTGAATCGGCCAGTGTATAACCAATGTGGGGTGTTCACTTTTTAATTGCTTTTTAAATTGAAAAATGTTTATATTTATATATAATTCTAATTTTTTTTTTTTCAGAAAATGGAAGAGTTCAGACATCAGAAAAAAGAAAATATTGTGCGAAAAAGCCACATGAGTTCACAGAGGAAGATAAAAGAAAGCTTAAATTATCTGCAATGACAGATGAAGAAATCGAGAAATTGATGAACTCAACTCTTTCGTCTGATGAAGAATCTGAGTACGAAGACGATGACAACAGCATAGCTGACCCAGAGTATGTTGTTGATCAGATATCAACTGAGGAAGACCAAATCATAGACGACGTTTTATGTGAAATGAACAACAGCGTTGTAGGCAACGAAGTTGGGTTGTCGTTGAATTTTAGCACACTTAGTGGTGTCTCATCAGAAATAGTAGAACCGTATACATCCAAACTAGTACAGATACAGAGGCTGCAACCACTACCAAAACAAGCGAATTAGCCACGGAGGAGGCCACATTCGCTACAAGTAATACCATCATTGACAAGACTTCGATTGAGTTCTCCAATATCTTATGGCGACAAAGATCTATGAAAATGCATGTGAATGAAATTGCGTTCCGTGGAGATTCTGGGTTACATTATGCCGTCAGAAAGCTTAAGAACCCGATTGAGTTTTTAAATTATTTTTTGACTGTTGAACTCATAGCCGTAATTGTTGAAAAAACCAACCGAGCAGCGCGGTCAATAGACATAAATACAGAGTTCATAACTAATTATTCACAGATCCGAAAATATCTGGGTGTTTTGATGTTTATGTCTACTTTTCGCTATCCAAATATAGAAGCGCACTAGAGTGAATTTGGATTTAGACATATACCAAATGCTTTGCCTTGGAAGAAATTTGTTGCAATTAAAAAGCATTTGTCTTTTTCGGATAAGAGTAAGCGCATCAAAAGAGGTGAGCCAGGGTACGATCCATTATTTCGAATAAGGAAAATTATTGATTTTTTGAATGAACACTTCGATTCCGTTCCTAAACGAGCTCGTTTATTTACTGATGAACAGATGTGTAAAACAAAGGCCTTGCACCATTTACAGCAATATATGCCAAACAAGCCCAATAAATGGGGTATAAAGCTCTTGGTGTCGTGCGACAGCAATGGATATGCATACCAGTTTGAGGTATATAATGGTGCTGGTAATAACACTATTTTACCAGACACACCAGATCTTGGAGCCACCAGCAATGTCGTCATTCGGCTATCGCAAACAATTCCTGATTTCGTGAATCATATTCTATACTTTAATAATTTTTACTCATCACTGCCCCTAATGGTTTATTTACGAGCTCGTGGGATATATGTATTTGCTTTAGGTACCATTCGAGCCAACAGAATATCAAACTGTAAGCTACCATCCGATTCAGATACTGAGCTGAGAAAAGTGGATAGAGGTTTCGCAGTTGAGTTTTCTGCTACTGCGTATGAGTTGACTTGACTACGGTTCTCTGGAAGGTCACCAAAAATGTTCGGCTATGTTCAACTTATGTAGGTGTCAAACCATTTGCAAAAGCGAATGCTGCTATCCAGCCGTCGAAAATTCATAGATATATGTAATAGAAAAAAGAGAGAATACATTGAAATAGATTGCCCACAAATCATTCGTGAGTACAACTCTCACATGGGTGGTGTAGATCTCATGGATTCATATATGGGCAGAAACGGCTTGCATATAAAAAACATGGATACAATGACTCGCATATTCTATCATCTACTAGACATTTCTGTTACCAATGCTTTCATTCTGTACCGTCGAACTAAATCATCGCTTGCAGAGGAAGAAAGAAAAGAAAAAGATTTGACTCTATACCAGTTTCGTTTACAATTAGCAAAATCGCTGTGTGCTTCCACCGACAAACCAACAGTTGGACGTCCATCAAGCGGATCGCAGTCATTTCTTAGCAATAGCACTATTGGTGAACGAGCAGTGCACCCCGTAGAAGAAATAAGGTATGATCAGCTCAACCATCTTCCAGATGGGGTTCAAAGAAGTCGTGTAAATTTTGTAGGAAATTTGATGCACACACTTTTTGTACAAAATGTAAGCAACATTTATGTTTTTCAAGTACTAAAAACTGTTTCAAAGACTATAATTTGAATGAATAATTAAAAACAACACAATTTAATACTTTTACCGGCCTTTATGAATCATTTTGTTGGAACAAAACTAGTTTCTTTCATCGTTGGTCTATAAAATACGCGTTGTTTATTTCTTACCCTTTGTCGGGCTTTTATGGACCCGTTTACAGACGGTCTTTAATTTTTTGCACCTGGCGTCCCAACCAATGAAAATCTTTGAAAATGGCTTTCAAATATAAGTTCACCACACTAAAGTCATCCTAAAACTAAAATTACCAAAACAAGAACCCTTTTATTTCTGTTTTCCCCGTCTAAGGTTTAAGAACTTTGATGACAGCGTTTCAACAAAATTATTCGTGTTCGCCCGGACGAATTTCGCCGCATATTTAACACATATTCTTGTAGAGCACAACTTCCTTTAGATTTACAATTAAAAATTGCGCTATTTAGGTTGGGATCTTTCGAAGATAGATGTACGTGGGTGATGAGGGCACTTTTCAAAATATAACTAAACGCGTATTTAAAGCAATATTGACGTTCAAAGAGAAGTTTCTGTTTTGGCCAAATGAAAATGAACGGTTGGTGTTCTTCTTCTTTACTGACCTAGACACCGCTTACGTGATTATAGCCGACAGCGGTTTCTTCTTTTCGCTACGTGGGGCCAATTGGATATTCCAAACGAAGCAAGATCCATCTCCACTTGGTCCTTCAAACGGAGTGAAGGTCAAAAGTAAGTGTATCATATTACAACTCTCGATATAATTTTACTTTAGAAACAGTTGTAAAAAACATGGATTCTTGGCGAATAACAATGCATTGGTAGTACCAGAATACGATCCAATACATCCATGTGTACAACAATTTACACAAGGTCCCAATTGTAAAGTTTGATATTTAGGGGTTTCATATAGTCTGTCTTTTAATTCGCTGAATTCTGTCAATGTCGTCATATATCTCATACAGCTCATTGTTCCATCGAATGCGACATTCGCCGAGGCCAATGCGCAAAGCACCATAAATCTTTCGCAGAACTTTTCTCTCGAGAACTCGCAACTTCGACTCATCAGTTGTTGTCATCTTCCAAGCCTCTGCACCATATAGCATATGGATATAGATCAGTAGTCGGCATGAGAGGATCTGGCACTGTGTTGGTGACCACGGAACAAAAGTAGCCCAGTGAGAAATTGGAATTTAAGCAAATTTTATAAGCAAAATTATATAATAAATTATTCTTCTAAACAATTCTAATCTAAATAATCTAAGTATTCGTTTTTACATAACCAGTCAGATATTTTTTTTAAGCAAACGCGCTAACACGTGAGTTATAGCTTCTTATCAGCTCTTCGCCGCCGTGTTTGAATAGCTCGGCCCCCGCCGCTTTGTTATTCTTCAGGCGGGTAATTGCTATTCAAACTTCTTTATGGTCGGGCAATGGTACGTATGCTCCATCGTTATCGATTGCGGAATCGGGTTCGCCTTCTTCTGGCGTTGTACGTTCACCGCCATTCAGCAATATGGAAAGTGTTCCCTCCATAATTTAAGTATGCTCTGGGCATCTCTGACCCGATCAACTTTGGGGGTTCTACAAGAGTATGTTCCAGTCATGAAACATTCTGTAGGCCACCGAATTTTTTCGTAGAATTTTCAAGCATTACCCCTGTCGGCTAGCTTATCAAGCTCTTCATACTCACGCATTTGGGCGTCTTCCTTTTTCTGTCTCCAAATGCGTCTTACTTCACTCTTCACCTCTCGGTATCTATCCCATCCCTCACGTGTTGTGGTCGATCGTAACGTTGCGAGGTAGGCAGTTTGTGTTCTCTCCGTTGTGGCATGGCACTCTTCGTCGTACCAGCTGTTCTTCTGCATTTTCCGAAATCTAGTGGTTTCGGTTGCAGCTGTACCTAAGGAGTTTGAAATGCCGTCCCACAGTTCCCTTGTACCGAGTTGTTGACGAGTGCTCTCGGAGAGCAGGAGTGCAAGCCGAGTAGCAAATCGTTCGTCTGTCTATTGCGATTGCAGCTTCTTGACTTCATACCTTCCTTGTGTTTGTTGACGTGCCTTTTTTGCTGCACAGAGCTGCGAATCTTGACTGCAACAAGATAGTGGTCCGAGTCGATGCTACGACCACATCTAGAACACTGGAGACATGTCTTCCGTCTATCACAACATGATCAAAAACGAAGAAAGCGTTGAAATTAACCCACCTCAATGTAGCTTACCACCAGGAAGTAACACAATATCTAGCCTTCTTGACTTCATACAAAATCATATATTAGGTTGTCAAAAAAGGCTTGCGGTATTTTCGCTAGTGGGCGCTGAGAGCGCGTAGTTCTAGTTTTATTCGTCGCATCGGGTCATGCTATACCTTTCTGGAAAGCTCATTTCACGCGCTAACACGTGAGTTATAGCGTCCCAAACATGGAGCAAAATAAAGAGAGAATATGGCATATTTTACAGTATTACTACGATAAAGGCAAAAATGCATCTCAAGCCGCCAATAAAATTTTTGCAGTTTATGGAACCGATACAGTTTCCATTTCCACCGCACAACGATGGTTTCAAAGTTTTCGTTTTGGTGTAGAGGTGGTCGAAGATGCGCCACGCTCCGGAAGGCCTGTCGTCAAAAGTGGCGATAAAATCGCTGAATTGGTCGAAGAGACCAGCATAGTAGCAGCCGCAGCATCGGTCAAGAGCTGGGCATGAGTCATCAAACCGTTATAAAATAAATAAGTAAAAAATACCGTAAGACGTTTCTGACAACCGATTATTAACTTAAAATAGATCATTATTTAAACGTATATATACTATTGATTAGTTTAATTAATACATATATAAAAATGTTTTTTTTTTATTTAAAAATTAATGTAAAAAGTAATTATTAAAAATAAACTTCAGGTACATTAATTAATATTATCTTCCACTTATTTGTATTTGTATTTCAATTCTTCCATTGTCATTCATTTGTATTTACATTTTTTTAAATTTTTCATTACTTTCCAATTCTTTTAGTTTCATCTCTATTTCTTTGTCTTTTAGTAATAATTTTTGCTTTTCCTTAACTCCACTTCTCTTTCTTTAATCGTCAATTCTATTTCTCCTAACTACAACTCGTTTTCCTTAAAACTAATTTCTTGCTCAATTTTCTGCTTTCTCAGCTGTATCATTTCAGACTGAATTTGCAGAATATCTGATGCCGCAGTTCTGGAATATATTCCTTCACGAATGTTTCTTTTTAAACATTCGCCTATGCATACAGCCGCAGAAGACGCCGAGTCATTGACGCCCACTTTCGAATAGTTTTCATTGTTCTCCAAACTCTCGTTGATTAGTGCAGCTCAACCATTTCAAAAAAAAACGAACATATTTTAAGAAAAATATTTAAAATAAAAATGTCTATTTCTTTTAAGTAACACTCGCTCGTTCCGTAAATGTGGTTGGCCGTGGGGAAACGGTCGGCGCAAATGATTCCACAAATTGTTAAATAAAAAAAACAATGGGTTTCTTATAATAAATAAGTATATTTAATTATAAAAATTTGAAACAACACTTACCGCGTCTATCAGGGCTATCGCAAAAGAAGAGAGCGCGCAACCTTTTAGTTATTGTTTAGTTGCGTGCGAATTAGAACTTCGAAAAACTTCGAAAAAGAGGAAAATAAAAGATTGCTCTGCTTATACAGACGTGGCAAAAGAAATTTATATTTAAATTACTTAGTACTAAAATTTATAAACTAATTAATTCAAATTTTTATTGTTAAATTAGCTAACATATGTACGAATTAGAAAAATAATTTATTTGTTATTGTAAATTATAACAAACGAAGTATAACAATATAAACTACCTGATCAGATACTTACCATGCGCCAAATTTAGGAAAAAATAGTGAAAAGAGGACCGGCACACAACACCTTCTCTTTAGCAGCACGAGAGGGAACTGCTTCATGCCACTTTGTCTGAATTTGATATCCCAGCAAAAATAATACGGCTATATAAACTGACGTTGAGCTCGATTAATTCGAGCTGCAGATCTTCATCGAGAAGGTACAATCTATAAGAGTAGACAGCTGCTGGCGTATGCCGATGACAATGATATCGCTGCTAATCCTGCTTTCTTCAAACTGGATGAGCGAAGCAGATGGGTCTAGTAGTGGACGAGGGCAAGACGAAATATCTCCTGTCATCAAAGAAACAGCCGTCGCACTCGTGACTAGACTTTCACGTCACTGGTTAATGTCATAACTTCGAAGTTGTAGACAATTTATCTACCTTGGAACCAGCACTAACAGCAACAACAATGTCAGCCTGGAAATCCAACGCAGAATAACTCTTGCCAACAGGTGCTACTTTGGACTGAGTAAGCAATAGAGAAAGTCCTCTACCAACAAGCAAAAATCAAACTCTATAAATAACTTATTATTCCCATACTGCTATATTATGCGGAGGCATGGACGATGACAACATCTGATGATTCGGCCATAGAAATTTTCGCGAGAAAGGTTCTGCGAAAGATTTATCAGTCAATAAAATACAGCGGCTGCGCTGGTTAAGTCATGTCGTACGTATGGACAAAAACACCAAAACTCTGAAAGTTTTTGATGCAATACCCGCCGGGGGAAGCAGAGGAGGAGGAAGACTTCCACTCCGTTGGAAAAAAGAAAAAACTGGAGCGGTTTTGTTAACTCAGCTATAATTGCGTAAGAGGTGTCTATGCCAGTAATGAAGAAGAAGAAGCTCTTAGATGACACTCAACACTTTCCAATTTGATGGTGTGTCGTCAAATAACGTGACATTGTGTTTGTATGTCTGTAAGTACTTGATTATATGTTGTTCCTAAAGGCTTTATTGACATCTTTGTAATTGCAAATAAAATTTCTGATATGTTTGATTTTACAAAACCACTTTTAATTGTTCAAACAACACGGAACTCACTAACTTTGTTATTTAATTTATTTCTTAAAGTTTTACTTGCTGACTGCTGTTTTGTGTGTATTGCAAAGCGTTTTTACGGTTTATTTTTTTTACCTTTTGAGATTTGCTAGTTGCAAACTGGTACAATTATGTAGAAAAATTTTATATTAAGAACTACTAAGAAAAAGTTCGGTTACTAAATATCGCATAAAAAGCTTTTAAGGCTACTACATGTTCAACAAGCTCATTTTCGCATTTCAGCTTTATACCGTTATTCCGAGTGTTTCAAAACTTGGGCTATATATGGCCGAAAGTCATCTATTTTGCTGAAAGTTTATGGTGTTTATGCACTAGCTGAGCTTCTGTGTTAAAAGTGGTGTGCACGATTTTAAAGTGGTGATTTTGACCTTATAGATTAAGAACGTCCTGGGAGGCTTTACTTGATAAAGATTGCTACAAACATAAGAAACCCTCACATAATCTTTGAGAGTCACTCAAGCAGCGATATCAAAACATTTAAATGATATTTGAACGCAATAGAAATAACTCAGTTTTGTGTGTTTGTGAGTGGTGATGAAGAATGAATCTATTATGTTAACCATAAACCCAAAGCCAAATTTCTATGATATATTTAAATTATTCAATTATAATAGCTTTGAATTGTTTAATTTAAAAAGTTGTTAAATTAGCTTACATATGTACAACTGGCACAATTCCGATGTTAAGAGGAAGTCTTAGTTTACGAGATATTAGCCCTAAAAGTTCAAAAATTCGCAAAATTCGAACATTTCAAGAAGCTATTTCACCACATTAAACACACATTTTTCACCTAAAATTAATTAAATTACACTATAAACTTTTAAATAAATTCAAATATTACACTTTTATCAGGGCTTTTACCTAAAAATCCTTTATTTTAAAAATTTTACACTCGTTTGGACCTCAAATGGAGCGCTGCCATGTGATGATAAGGCAATTCGCTGAAACTCCTCTATCCATGCACATGGATATTTTATTTTTTAAATTTATTAAGCTAATAAGTAATTATTG